GAGGCGGCCCACCTCTAGTGTGCCCCTGCGCTCGCGGCCGGCCGTGCCAGCGGTGGGGCCGCCTGTGCCGGGCTGGGCCGTACGTGGTGGCGGTGCGTGTAAGCGTGCCCGGCCTGGCCCCGGAGGTCATGGCAGCCACCGGTGGCGGCCTGGCTGGCGTGCCCGTCCTGAGGAAACCGCCCAGCCCCGTCCTTTCTCGCTTCACGAGGAGGTTGCCCGCAGTCGCCACCGGCCCGGTGCAGGCAGGCCCGCCGCCTGGGCTTTGCTCACAGTGCTGCTACCTCGGGGCCGTTCAGGACGGTGGGTGCGATGTAAATCGCTGACACCATGCAGCCATTGGGAGCCAAATTAGAGTATAATTGCTGTGTTACTATCTCAAGACCCAAGACCCATCACCTGCCCCTACTGAGAAGAACAAGCGATCTACCAAGATAAGGAAACTTTTCACCAGATTTGCTGAGGGATCCATATCTAGGAGAAACACGAGTTGCTGATGCCTGATAACTTTGCAGAAGTTGACGACAAGCATCTGGATTAACAGATAAGCCCCAAGGATGCTGACGGATGCTGCTGCTGCGAGACATACAAAAATAGAGTTGCTTTGCCGTACCGCATTTATGATTGGATAATTAGAGATATGCATTAGTAGGTAATTAGGTGATTCATACCATACCCTTTTACAAAACTCCTTCAGAAAAAACCCTGGGGTGTGCCCAGTTTGGCTGGGGCACATCATGCGCATGAATAAATATTTACCTTTGTAATTCCGTAGTTTGTGTCCTAGCCTCTCTCCTCAGCTGGCACAGGCCAGTTGTGAATTTGTAACAAGAGTGCAATGGGAGCATGCTTTGGCTCCTCTCTCTTAATGAATTGCCCTGCCTTGGGCTAGAGTTTCCACCTCTAGCATTGGCGTTTCTGTCGGTAGTCTTTGTGCTTCCCGCCACGGCAGGGCAGATTGCGAGGAGCAGGGCCAGCAGGTCAGCATCATTGGGAGCGTGCATGTGCCCAGGCCTGCCTGCTCCTGGGCAGCGGTGGGAAGGACGGTCAGTGCCTGAGGGGAAAAGGAGCTCTCCAGACCTCGCGGTGGTTCACAGGCAGATTGAGGTCAGCGGCTTTGGAGAATACTACGGCTTAATAGTGGGTTAGGACAAGGCAGTGGAGGCCGGGTTTGAAGAGCTAAGGTCTTCCTTAGGAAAAGGCTAATCCAAGGAGTTGGGTATTTCCCCGTCTCCCCTTCAGTTTCAGGTAAACGGTTAATACAGGGAAGTATTTTGAAGAAAACAAGGCTCACCAACAGAGACTTGGAGTTTAAAGAAAAAGAACTCAGTTATGTATTAATAACCAAAATCGACTGAGTAGATATAAAAGCTGAAGGCACGCACTTAGTCTCCTTCAGTAGTATGAAACCGTTATAAAGAAACATACTGAATTCTAGCTGTGCCTAATTTATTTGACAGCACTTGCTATGTATATCTCACAGCAGCTAGCATCTAGGTGCCCATATGCTTCAAGCATTACATACATATATATAAAAAAATATAAAATATACATACATACAAAAGAAGACACTTTTCTCTCTAGCCTTTGGTGAACTGATTGCTCATGCAGACCTGGTGTGGGATTTTTAAATTATTAATTGCATAGTGTTTCAATCCTTCTTAGATACTGATACAATTTCATCTTTAAGGTTTGGGTTTTTTTTTCCATTGGCATCATGTTCCGTATTCCATTATACCTGGAACTCGATGGGGTTTTGTCCTTGTCTTCAAGATACAGCAGCTAAGATGCTGACTCTTCATGTTTCCTGATTGTCTCCTCAGTGCTAATAATCACCTCATCTGAGAAAAATCAGTACTCTGTTCCCTGCTGCCTGTCATTTCTTGAACATCTTGACTATAACTACTGAACTGCTTTTTCTTTCAATTGCAAAAATAAATGTTGAAAGTATTTTAATAGGAAATACTGTTGAAAATAGTTCTAAAGTGTTTTTTTTTTAATCTAAAACATACGAATAACTTACGCAGTTACATATATTTGAACTGTCAGTGAATATGCCTGAAATGATTACACTAACTCTGTTGTCCTAGATCTCTAAACTGCATCCTGCCTCATGCTTCCTAGTATAAGCCATCTCACCAACTGCTTGGGGTCGGTTAGTAAGACCTCAGTTTGTGAAAACTTAACTTACACAAGTGCAGCTTTACTGAGGGAGGCAGTTTAGTCATTCTCATGATACAAAACTCTGGGGAAAACAATGCTGCTTATAGAGAACATTTAACAAATGGACTTTCTCAGGTCCTTATAAACTCTTACAGGATTCGGAATTTAAAAATCTTAAAATAAAATTTCATGGAGCATTACTGTTTATACATTCTATTCATTTATTATTTCCTCCTCATACACATGAACTTACCTCCTTATGTTTTAAGATGTACTGAGAAAAATCTTACTGCGCCTCACCTAGTATTTATTGTGCTGACTGCTAATTAAATCAGGTTGTATTTGCTTTTCCATTCTATCTTTTGACTATATGACCTTGGGCAAATCACTTTGTCCTTTTTGCCTCTTCAGACTGGTTTGCCCTCGGGGCTACAGGTTATTTTTTAGTACAGTTATAGTTAAGACAATGATCTGCAATTACTGTTTACACAGCTATTATAATAAAACAATTTTTTACTATTTCTGAATAGGAGATGGAGTGAAACAGAAAAAAAGTGAGTGTAGGTAATACTTTAAGATTAAAAATCTTTTTTGGCAGTGAGTCAAACTTCATTGATTTAAACCTGGAACTGTTGACATTTGTCTGCAAGTTTTTTTATGTGAAAGGAACTCTGATTTTTTTAAAGAGTACTTAGAGAGGTTTAAAGACTTAGCATTATTTTAAATATAGAAACACGATGATAGAAAAGCGAATTAAGAAAAATCCTACACAGGGAAAACTCACAAATACCCTGTAGTCCAGTTGATCCTCTATTAGTAAAAATAATATAAGATGGGCGTTCCATTGGAAGGGATGGTGGAGCCTTGTTGTAAAGGGACATAAACATCTGGCAGTACACCTGGTCTCTACACATACTTATAAATCACCTCAGGCATCCCAAGGTACTGTGGAGAACACACACAAAAATTGAACTAAGAACACACATAAGCCAAAGAAAATAAAAATCTTCTCGATATAGCGTGGAAAGAAATGAGTCTCATTTACTGCACAAACACAGTTTGGAAAGACGTGATGCAATTTTGCACTTCTTGCACCTTTGCACCTGCTGACTTTCATTTATATCCTCCAGGCAACAAGGAAGCCTGAAGGCCTTTGGCTCATAACCAATGCTGACGTTGCAGTGTGGTGCTACAGGAGCGCCTGCAGCTCTGGTAGAGCCTCCCCTCTCGCCTCTGATCCGAGAACGTTGAGGTTTCCTGGCATCTTTTCTAAAACGGTTTGTGCAGTGAATCTCCCAGTATTGTTTATTGCTGCTCAAGATTGATTAATACGTAGCAAGCTGCTTTGCAGGTGCCAGCTTTGCCTGTGAGCCTCGAAATGTGTTCGTCACATTTGTTTCTG